TTAACTGGGTGCGGTTTTTAAAATTTTATTAAATGTTAAAATAATCGTAAATTACTTCATTAAAATTCCGCTCAAAAATATCTTTAAATATACTCAAACAAAAAATTTTTTGCTCGACGCAAATAGCCCTAGCTACACGCAAAATCGCTCATATATACATACATTATATGCTTATTTATGACTTATTAATAACAACTTACATGCTCATTAACAAACTTAACACGTATGATTCCTTTTAGTTGCGTACCAGTGTACCTACATAGTTGCTCATAACCATTCTTAAATTTAAAAAAATAATAACACAGTTTAATTATCACTTTGATGTTTAAAAAAGTTTACAGTATTTTATAAAATAAACCTCTAACAAATGTGATCTGTTTATAGAAATTAATGCAGATGGGTGTGAGCATTCTTTATCTATACCAAGTGATTTTTTATCTTCACTTATCCAATTATAGAATATCTTCATTCTCTAAAATAAAAATACCAAAAATAAAAATCAAAAATTTTATTTCTTCATTAAAATTATTTGAACTTAATATGCTTCCTTGCGTTAAGCTCAGTTTTTTTATTTAGCATTTTTTATAAATGTGCGCACACATATATGTATATATATTAAAAAATACTCAAGTAGTCATCTTTCCAAATATTTTTGTCAATCTTCAACATTTCTGTTTTGCAGAAATTTGTCCTTAAAGTTGAAAAACTTTTTACTTGGTTTTTCTGCATATCATATATCTTTCTGTTGTCAAATATCTTTCGGTTTTTCTGCGAATCATATATATATGTCTATATACATACATATATATATATATATATATATATATATATATATATATATATATATATATATATATATATATATAATATATATATATATATATATATATATATATATATATCTATATATATATATATATATATATCTATATATATATCTATATATATATATCTATATATCTATATATCTATATATATATATATATATATATATATATATATATATATATATATATATATATATATATATATATATATATATATATATATATATATATATATATATATATATATATATATATATATATATATATATATATATATATATATGTATATATATATATATGTATATATATATATATATATATATATATATATATATATATATATATATATATATATATATATATATATATATATATATATATATATATATACAGGATGGGGCATAAATAGTGTTGACACATTCTTTGGGCCAAATCCAAATGCAAAATGCAAAAAATGTAAAACAATAATTTTATTTAATTAAACAATAGCCAGAAGAACAAAAAAACAAATAAATTATTTAAAATGGTCGCCTTTAGCCTTAACACAGAGCTTAAGTCTCTTCTTGAAAGCACCCCAGATGGCACGCAGAAAGGCGGATGAAAGATTACTCACAGCTCAAGAAATTGAGGACTTGAGAAAAGCTAAACTAGCATGTTGAGTAGAGTTGACCTCGGCCTCCAACACTCCCCAAACAGCAAAATCGAGCGGGTTCAAATCGAGCAAATATGGGGGCCATTCCGCAGCTGCAATGAAATCAGGGCAATTGGCTTGACACCACGCTTGAACGATCTTTGCTCTGTGAGAGAGCACGCCGTCCTGCTGTTAACACCAATCCTTATTTTTGAAGTGTCTTTGTGCAAACGGTTTAACTCCTTTCTCCAAAATCAGGTCCAGATAAGATTTAGCATTAATTTTCACTCCTTGTGGCACGAAAATTGGCTTTGTCACTCCATCTTCACAAATGCCCAGCCAGACCATCACGGATTCATCAGACTGTCGTTTTCCCACAAAGCAACCTTTGACAGAAGCATCTTTGATCGAAACCGCATAAACTCTATCATTTTGCTTGTTCACTTCTTGAGAAATCGAGAAAATTTTCTCATCTGAGAAGAGAATTGGCTGACCCCGTGCCACCTTGATGCACGAGAGGAGAGCCTTGCATTTGACGAGTCGATTCTTCTTATTCACATCTGTGAGTTTTTGGCAGACTTGATGCTTGTAAGCCTTTAATCTGAGATCCTCCTAAGTTAGTTATAATAAGTTGCAATGCGAGCTTATCAACTCACACGAAGTAACCCATCTGATTTTTTATTTAATTTTTCATGCTATATTTTTCTATACTATGTTCTTATATCCAAAGATAATGTTGGCTTAGCATAGGAACAGCCACAAATAGTCATTAAGACTAATCCAAAGTAGCGTCCGTTATTGACCAACATTTTTGCGTACCGAAGTACTACTCAAGCGCTGAGTTGGCGGTGGCGGGATTTGAACTCGTACCGTTCAACAATCCAGGTTTAAACTTTTACTTTGACGCTCTAACCATCTGAGCTATCCCGTCACTATGGTGTTCACTAACCTGTAAGTTAAGTCTGAGGATGTGTAGAAGGTTGTCCAGCCGATTCTTGAATGCGTTGACTGTTTCTGTGTTCACTGTATCATCGGATAGTGAGTTCCAACAGTTCACAATTCTGTTAGTGAAGAAATTGCTTTGCAGTGCGCTGTTACGGACTAATTCTTTGCTCAGTTGTCCTCTATGACCCGCTCTTGGCTCTCTTGTGATTGTTGGTACACATCATTTTACTTTATTGATTCCTTTTAATATTTCAAATTGTTGAACAAGGTGGCCCCTTTGTTGACACAAAGTTAGACTAGTTAGGTTGAGTTTAATTAGCCTTTCTTCATAGCTATGTTGCCTCATTGCGTGTCCAATCTTGGTGGCTCGTTGCTGAACTTTTTCAAGTGTTTTGTGGTCCTTTTTTGTCCATGGTGACCAAGTGCATACTGCATATTCCAAATGGTCTGGCATATGTTGTATAGAGTTTTTTCCATAGTGCTGGATCTTGCGATATAAACGTATTTTTTAACAGTCCAAAAAAACTATTTGCGTTGGATGAGACTTTATTGACTTGTTTTTCTTGCTTAAGATCTTGACTTATTGTACTCCAAGGTCTATTTCTATCATTGTTGTTGTTAGATCTCTTTTTTTTTTGCCTGATAGTGGATCTAGCATGGTGTATGCCACTGATTTGTTTGCTCATCGAATGTGCATCACTATCGATTTACTAAGATTTAGTTGCATTTGCCAAGTGCAGCACCAATCACTTATCTTGTTGATATCATATGGCAGGCTTTTAGTATCAAGCTCTTCATTTCCTGGCCGGATTGGTGCTATTAATTTGGTGTCGTCCGCAAACTTTTTTCAGCAAGAGTTAATGTTGTCTGGGAGGTTGTTAATGAAGATGGCAAATAGAATTGGTCCTAGCACGGATCCTTGGACAATACCACTAGACACTGGTGCCCATCTTGATGTTGTGCCCCCTAGAACAACTCGCTGTCATTGATTTGTTAAAAATGAGCAAATCCATGTAAGCAGTTGACCTGTTATTCCATATTTGCTCGGTTTTTCAATAAGGCTAGTATGCTGTACTAAATCAAATGCACGTGAAAAATCAAGAAATACGATATCTAGAGGTATTTTTTTTGCCATTGTTTTGGTGACTAAGCCCATAGTTTCTAAAAGGTTTGTCATACATGATTTATTTGGGACAAAACCATATTGTTCGCTACAGAAAAGGTTGTTTTTAGTGAAGTAGTTAAGTTTATTCCTTACTATTTTCTCCATAATTTTGCATGGGACCAAAGTCAAGCTGATTGATCTATAGTTTCCGGGATCTGTTGGGCTTCCTTTTTTAAATATTAGTGTTACCTTTGCGTCTAGCCATGCTGTTGGTATTTCTCCTGAACACAGTGATAAATTAAATATGATCGATAGTAACTTGACAAATTTGGTGGCGAGTGCTTTTAGAACGAATGGGTGAACGTTATCTGCTCCTTGTGATTTGTATCCATCAATTTGAAGTAATAAACTTTCTACTTTGTCCTCCGTGATGTTTATTTTGTCTATCCTCTTATTTGTTCTATGGTCGAGTGCGTTAACTTGTATGTCGTATCTTTTGCTAAAGACAGACTCGAATTGGTGATTTAACATATCAGCTATGTCCTTTTTACTGTTTTTGAGTTCACCGCTGTCAGATTTGAGGGCTTGTATTGAAGTAAATATTTTTAATTTGCTGTTTATATATGAAAAGAGTTTTTTGGTTTTTTTTTTTTTTGTCGTTTGCTAAATTGAACTCATAGTTGTTTTTGCTTTTTTGGATGCTTTTCTTATATCTCTACTTGCATTGCGGTATTCCTTTGCAAGTTCAGTTTTTTTCCATTTTGAGGCTACGTTTTGCTTCCACAGCATTGTCTTAAGTTGAGATAACTTTTTTAAGTTATTGGTCACGAGTCTGATTGTAGATTTTTTATTCGATATAATCTCATAGTCTCATATTCGATATAATCCACATATCTCATAGTCAAGAGTGGTTTTACATTGTTCATTTGCTTGTATAAATGTGTGAAAGTCAACAAGTTGAGTGAGAGAACTGTCGTTGAGCATATCAGTGAATTTTACAGATGAGTTATTTTCAGGGCCAGTTACACATACAATATCATCACTAAACCATTTCACATTTGGAAAGTAAAAGTCACCACAGATGAGTGTTGAGCTGAACTTTTTAGTGTCAACAAGTAACTTTGCCTTGCTAATGCTTTTCCTAATTGCAGTATTGGTTGACAGATTATTTGTATATCTTGAGGAAGACGGTGGTCAATATAAACACCTATTAGAATGTTTTCATTGTTTATGTTTAACGAACACCAACTTTGCTCCAGTTTATGCATCTTTATAATCAATTTCAACAGATGGTAGGTCTTTGCTAACATAAATTGCGACTCCTCCATGATAACCCTCTCTATCTTTACGAAACACATTGTAACCGTGCAAATGTGGGACTGATCGGCTTGTGAACCATGTTTCACTTACTAAAATTATATGGGGGCAGTTGACTAAGACATATGCTGTGAGTTCGTTGAGATTGTTTGCATTTAGCGATGTTGCATTGGTGTATATACATCTTATATGTTTATCATTATTTATTGCTGCTATCGAGTTATTAATTGGTTGCAAATTTATGGTGTCGTGTGGCAAACTTAGCTGATGGCGGTATTGGTTTTTTGCTGCTGCAATCAAGTTGATACTTGATGATGAAGTTGCGGTATAAATTGGCAGGTCAAGATGTTGTTGTTGAGAATTGTTTGATAATATTACTATACTGTTAGGTGACAACGAGTTTGTGGCATCATGTGGCAAACCGAATTGGTAAAGAAATTCACTTTTTGTTGCTTTGATCAGGCTAATATTTGATGATGGAATTGTGGCATAATTTAGCAGGCTGAGATGATAATGTTGAGCATTGTTTGTTATTGTTACTAAGTTGTTGATTGGTGACGAGTTTCCATCGAGTTGTTTTTCTTGTTTACATGTTAATGAGGCTGCAACAATTTTTATTGCTTGATTTTTTTGCTATAAATTTGATCGGTTTTCTTTGTGTGGCACTCACACAAGTACTCCATTGTGTATTCCCCAATAATAGCGCTTTCCATTTCTTTCTTTTTTGTATCTCAAAATTTTTCCGTTTTCTTGTTCAACATGAGTTAATTTGCTGTTACACTCATCTCTTTCAATTCTTAGTCTCTTTTCTATGTCTCGTTCTGTCTTTGTTTTATCTCTATCAATGTACACATTGTCGCAGCCTTCCATTGTTCTTAGCTTGTTATGCTTCTTTAACAGTTCAATTTGACTGTTATGGTTATCCAGTACTACTATTGTTGGTGGAGGTTGTTTAGTTGCAATTATCATGTTTGCAAATGTGTTGGTTGTATTTGTTGCTTCATTTGACGAGTCTACTTGGTGCTGTTTTTTATTCTGCGTACACTTTTGATAATTTCTTTTTTGAGTCCAAGGGCAACTATCAGTGATTCCATGCTTTCCTTATCTTGTTTTTTTCTTTCTTCTGGATCTTCATTAAACAAAGTCACATTAGTTTTTTATCTTTGGTAAGAATTTGAAGAAGTTTGATTGAATAGCTGCAGAAAATCTGTCTCTTGACGCCATAATACTGGTGAATTATGGGGCTGCAGTTTTGAAGTTGTCTCTTTTGAAGTTGTTACCAAACATTATATTATTATATATTATTAGTTGCTAAATCTTATTAACACAAATAGAACTGTTAGTTTATTGTGTTTTTTCTGTATATATATATATATATATATATATATATATATATATATATATATATATATATATATATATATATATATATATATATATATATATATATATATATATATATATTGATTTATCTAGTCAGAGATGCAGCAGTGTTCAGACATCAATGAAGAGTTTTTGTTTGGATAAGCTCTCTTTTAATCAAAAGAAAGGTTTTTCTAATGATTTCTATTTTATATCTATTTATCATCTGTTTTATATACATACATACATACGCAAAGACTGCATCTTGTATGTATGTATGTATATATGTATGTATGTATGTATGTATGTATGTATGTATGTATGTATGTATGTATGTATGTATGTATGTATGTATGTATGTATGTATGTATGTATGTATGTATGTATGCATGTATTGATTGCTTTAATATTTAATTAGGAATACATTATTTTTAACATAATAGATATACTTAAGTTCCAGATTTAAAAAAGAAGACCAGAAGTATTTTAAATTACATAGTTCATCACAATAAAAAAATTATTTTCTAAATAATTTCTAACAAATAATTTAAAGTATGCTAAGAAAATGAAGTAACCTCCATATGAGGAATGACATGAGGAATATCTTTTAGCACAGCTAGTGCTCTTGGTACCTTTTCCATAAGTTCAAAATGAAATTGACTCACTTTCAGTTCTCTAAAATTAAAGTTGAAACTTTATGTCTCAATAATCTAAATAAAAGAAATTCAAATTACCAAAATTAAATGTTAAATAAGTATAAAATTAAAATTATTTTTAATTTTAGACTTTAACATTTGATTTTGGTAATTTGAATTTCATAAGTAATATAATCACTAAAATGGAAAAAGCATTTTTATGTTTTATTTATAGAAATAGTAACTCACTTAACCAACCAATGGTTGTTAGGTGTAAACTGTTTTCTACAATCACGATCATGGATCAACAATAGCAACTGCAAAGCAGCTTTTTTAACATCACCACCAAGAATTTCTTGATTTGATGTTGTTGCTAAAATAAAAGATGACACCTTGTTTTTTGAAAATAACAAAACATCTTCCAAAATACTGAAAACTGAATAGATGGATTACTTACATAACATGAATTACTTTAATAACAACAATACTTAATAAAAGTAGTTATAATAAACACAGCAACAATCAACATAGTAACAATAAACACATTATAAATGAACACAGTAACAATGAACACAGTAACACTGAAAACAGTAACAATGAACACAGTAACAATGAACACATTAACAATGAACACAATAATAATGAACACAGTAACAATGAACACAGTAACAATGAACACATTAACAATGAACACAATAATAATGAACACAGTAACAATGAACACATAACAATGAACACAGTAACAATAAATACAGTAACAATGAACACAATAACAATGAACACAGTATTAATACTAGAACAATAAATGTAACTACATAAACAAATATATTATATAATAAAATTATAAAAGTTAATTAAGTAGCCTCCTCGTCTGTAGTGGCCTTCTTGGCCTTGAGGAGGTGAATTAAAAAAAAAAAAAATAAAAAATATGTATGTATGCTTTCATACAAGTTTACACCTCTTTATCACTGAACTAACAAGTTTATTAGAAATATATATTAAAATGGTAGTTAAAACAACATTAAAAATAAGTAAAACATCCTCTTACACACTTCACATATGTTTTATATAGTAAATTAACACTTATTAGAAATTAGCTTTTTTTAAAATGTTTAAGGGTTTTCACATGTCTTTCTAATATTTGATGGGGCCCTAATTATATCTAAAAAACATTATATTTAAAATATCAATTTTCAAATAGTTTTTGAAAATGTCAATTGGGATATTTAAAATATCCCAATTGATATTTTCAAAAATTATTTGAAAATATCAATTGGGACTCAAAATAAGCAAATTATATAAAACTTTCAAAAATAATTAATACATAAATTTTTTTGCATTAAAACTATGATTTTTAACATATAAGATTATGATATTATTATTTTCAAACGTTCAACTCCACACTCAAGTTAATGAAAGTTCTATTCTCATAGCAAAATATTTTAATTGAAGGTAAACAATATCAGTTAAAACAACAAAAGCTGTAAATTACCAGATGATAGCCATATCATCTTGAAAACCATTGAATTTAAAAATGCTGACAATTTCACAAGATCATCAAGCGAAAACGGCTTTTGCTTCTCATATAATTCACTATCATCAAGGATTCTTAAACAAAAACAGTAACAAAAATGATAAAAAATAATATTGTTTTTACAATATAAAACATATATTACATGTATAAATGCAGTGCTATTAAAAAAACTAAGTAAAGTAAATATTTAGCTTATTTGTTTTGTTTTTTTTTAAATTAGTAAACATAATTGCTAAAAAAAGGAAAACTATTTTTTTACCACTAAAATATTGATAACAAGTTTACTTTATAATATATTTTTTTATTAATTTATTTTACTAAAGAAATACAAAAACCATACTGGAAAATGTTGATTCTAAAAGTTAAGATACACAGCAATGGACAAGCAGTAAGTGAAACAACAAAGTGGGAAATAATAGGTATGATTTTTGTTTTATATCTGAATTATAAGGGGCTCCAAGAAGTCTTTTATGGTCTTTTCACAGAGCACAGCATTTAATTATGAAATTTATGCCTCTTTCCTTACCAATGATGCAAGTATGACCTGAGCTAACATTGAACTGAAGCCCCTAGATTTTAAAGCAAGTGCTCTCAACGTTAGGTTAGGGCTGCCCAGTTGAAGCTTGCTAACTTAAACATTGGATTTTCATTTCTCCCTAAATTTTCTTTACCAACTTAATTTAAAAGCCTCAGTTCAAGTTTTTGATTGAGTGAGTCTGACCATTTGCTGTGTCATAGTGTTTTTGGATCCTTTTAGCAAAAAACTTCACTTAATCAGGCTTAGTCAGGAAGCGGGTGCGATCGCACTTGATAATTGACCACGGAAATAATATTTAGTTGCGTAAAACTGGCCAGATTTTTTTAATTGTTTTGAGAACATTTCAAAAACAAACAAAAAAGCGCAATAAGATTAGCTGGACCAATGAGAGACAGTTAGAAAAAGAAAAATAGCTTTTAACGCGAAAAAACTTTAAGCAAAATAATTACGATTAGAGCAAATATTTTTGAAATTTTTTTATAATAATTTTTTTTATATAACTAAGCGACATTTTTTATATAAAGTAGCAACTTACTATTAATGATTGTTTAATAAGGAAACAAATGTTATTCGATTTATCAAAGAGTATATATAATTTTTATTTATATACTTATGACTTAGTTCCAGTGCTGATTGAGGAGCTTGGGGGGTAGAAGGACTATAGCCCCGGGACTCTAAATGTTAGGGGCCGTGAAATAGTCAAGAGGACCATTCGGTATTTTTTTTAGTCATTTTTACGCTGTGGCATATAAAAAAGCCCACCAAAATAATGCGGCCCTTGGCCCTGAAAAGTCCAACAAGATTCAACCAATAAAACTATTACTAGATGATTTAATTATAAATAAAAAAGTTTTTTCAATAATTTTACACTTCGCGTAGTTTGAAAAGTTTAGCACATTTGAAAGAATTCTTCTTAGTAAGATGAACAAATAAAATAATTAAATCATTGAGTTACTGTAAAAGTTCAATTAGCTAGATAGAAATTAACTAAAAACATTTAGTTACTTTGTGATGAGGAAGCAGAACTGCTTCACAATAACGTTGATGATGTTTAGTGAATGGGCTTTATAATTTTAATTAGTATTTAAAACAGAAAAAAGTAACTTTAAGTTTAAGTATAATGAGTTTGTAAAAATGGCTGAAGCAAAAATAATTGAAGTTAGTAAGCCAATTTCTAAGAACTTAAAAACTTTTCTTTCTTGGGGGAAAGAATCAGTTATCGGGTACACTGAGAAAAATGGATTAGTGGTTAAAATTATTTGTATTAACTTTGATGATTATTAATAATTTCATTGAAAACACTTTTTATTGAAAGTATTTTTGTTTACAAAATCAATACCACATATTGCTTTAAAAGATTACATTTGAATAAAATACACATCAAAAAATTACATACATAAAAAATACATACATAAAAATACATTATATACATAAAAAAATGCATTTCTTCAGTGCTAGATTAAGAGGGGGGCTAGGGGGGCTATAGCCTGGGGCCCCGCAAATTTAGGGGCCCCCAAAAAATTTTGAGGACCTTATTTCTTTTTTTTTTTTAAGTCAATTTTAGACTCTGGCCCATGAAAAAGCCTCCAAAAACAAAAAGCCCCGGGCCCCAAGAAGTCTTAATTCGCCACTGCAGCCCTTATATATAAAAAATAAGAATATACTAATAAAGTCTATAATATATTTACAAAACGTTGACAAGTTAAAAAATATAAATTTATAACATTTATTTTTGTAAAAAATTGTTAGTTTAAAACATTTTTAGCTTAGTAGATGTGGCTCTGAGATTTAAAATAATAGTTCGTTTGATATTCTTAAAAACAATTGTTTTTAAAACAATTTATACTAGAAATCTCAACGAAAACATAACAAAACTCAAATAATACAATTTAAAAAAAAAAAACAGAATACTCAAAAACATACGGTTATTTTTTTTTTGAATACTCTAGAAATTACGGTTGGGTAGCAGGAAAAAAATCCCCTGGCGAAAAATCCCCCAAAAATAATCCTACGAGAAAAAATCCCCCCGAGAAAAAAACCCCCTGGAAAATACCCCCCCCCCCCCCCAAAAAAAAAAAAAAAAAAAAAAAAAAATTTAAATTAAAAATTATCAATAAAATAGTTATATTTATTTATTTTAAATAGTTTTATAAAATACTTCATTTTTCATCAAAATAAGAGGTTATGCGCTATTCCTCGGTTATCGGTAAAATGCAAACTGCGAACCGCAAAGTGCGAGCTGTAAAATGCAAACTTTTTTGCGAACCAAACATTATATCTTAAAGACCATTATTTTTATGATAATAATAATAATAATAAAAACTCTCCATTTCTTAATTATCTATTTTAAAGCTTTAATTAAAATAAAATTTTTATTTTTTTACTGTAAAACATACGTGGAGTGTTGCTACATCGACTATCTTATAGCCTGACTTGCAACGAAGTGCTACTACATCAACTAACAAATAGCTTGACTCGCAACGGAGTGCTGTTACATCGACTGAGGGTTTGGATTGGGCAGGCAGTCTATCAAATAATAAAAATGAAAATATTTTCATATTGTATTTGTCTAGTTACACTTATTTTCCTTTTATTATTATTTTTAAATAATGTTTCTCTTAAAAGTCCTTAAAATATACAGCTAAATTAACTTTTTAACGGTAAACGATAAATAAAGTATTACATCATTAACAACCAATACGACGATGGTTCGCAAAAAAGTTAATTCGCAGTTCGTCACATTCGCTAACTTCGAGGAATAGCGCATAACTTGACATCTTGATGAAAAATGAAGTATTTTATACAAATATTTAAAATAAATACAGAAATAAACATAACTACATATTGATAATTTTTAAGTAAAAAAAAATTTTTTTTTTTTACTTAAAATTATCAATATGTAGTTATGTTTATTATAAAATTTTTTTTTTTTACTTAAAAATAAAGGGGTGATATTTTCCAAGGAGATTTTTTCTCGGGGGGATTTTCTCTCGGGGGATTATTGCGAAGGGATTTTTTCCTAGAAGCTATTTTTTGAACCAATAGAATTAGTTAATTGTAGATTTGGCGGGTTTTTTGTGTTCGCGAGTATTCTTTTTTTATTTTTCTGCGCAAAGATGTTTGAGAATATTCGAGTTTTAGTACGTTTCCATGTATGTCCGTAAAACAAAATATTTTAAAATTTACGATAAAATAATAAACTTAATTATTATTTTGCGGTCAAACAAGGAAACAAACATACATAAACTTAAATGTTCTCAAAATGACTAAAAAATCTGGCCCGTTTTTCGCAACTAAATATTATTTCCGTGGTCAGTTATCGAGTGCGATCGCACCCGCTTCCCGACCAAGCCTGGTTAATTAAAACTTTTTAAACTATTTTAAACCTATATAAAAATGATACAAAAAAAAAATTGTTCTTACAATGTTTGAATTTGTATTTAGGAGACACAAAAAAAGTAGTTTCTCTACAACACCAGGTTTAAGTACTAAATGAATTGTGCTGTATCTAATAAGTGCACAGGCTGTATCCAATAAGGCATCAGTTGCAATTTTGCAGCTCTGAAATTTTAAAAAACCTCTCTGAAAACTCCTTTCTAAACATAGTATTAAATTCGTCTTTAATAGATAAAACTCCCTTTGATTTTATTTAACCTCTGGGTACCCTAAAGTTCTGTGCTTGGTTCTGTTTCTCATCAATATTAATGATTTTACCTGGAAAATGTCTTAACTTCTAATTACATAGTCATGTTTTGTTTTAACAAAAAATCATCACTTTTTGATTGGTTAGAACAGACAGCCTTTCTTAATATGATTTCTTTTCTGTGACAACCTTGAGCTTGCAGTGGCTGGTGAATTTTAACCCAAACAGAATTCAGTTGTTTACACTGCTAATCATTATTGCAATATTATTGCTAAATGACAACACTTACTAAGAACTCATGTCAAAATGAATATAAAATCCATGGTAAGGTTGCTTACAATTTTTTTCTCTTTTCTACAAACACTACAATGGTTGCTGCTCAAGCAAGCTACTACCTCTTGTTCCGACAATTAAAACCTAACCTTGATAAATGACAACATTTACTAAAGAGTTGTCCAAAATGAATATAAAATCTGTCCTAAGGTTGCTTACAATTTTTTTCTCCTTTCTACTCCGTGACCACACAACTGCATAACGCTCAAATTTAAGGCTCTATCCATGCTTGTAGATATTCGTGGATCTATTTGTTTACAAATTATGCAATGATGTCAACACAGAAATAAAAAAAACGTAAAAAGTAAAAAAATTTAATTAAATGGATCTGCAAGAATCAAAAAGATGAAGCATTCTGCAAATCTTGCAATCGGATAAGACTACTTCAGCAATTTTTCGAGTAAGAAACCTTTTTCATGAAACAGGAGATATCAAACGACGTTTTAATAAGCCAAAACCTGTGAAATGATCACCTCAGCTTTTAAGGTCTGTCAAAAGAAAAGTCAAGTGAAATCCATTGCGCTCCATCCGTCAGTTGGCAAGGGAAGCCAATGTTGCCAACTCCACAATGCAAAAAGTTATGAAAGATTTGAACCTTAAATCCAGAGCTGTTGTGACTAAGCATCTTATCACTAATAAACAGAAAGAAAGTAGGAAAGAGCAATGCAAAAAATTGCTAAACTGGCGAAAATCTTACCCTGGGTGTGTGACAATCAATTCTCTGATGAAAAACTTTCCACTATGGATAAAGTAACCAATCGTCGTAACACAAGGTACCTTAGTACTGCTAAAACAGAAAAGAAGTCCCTGAGAATATCAGGTATTTATTTTCATCAAAAAAACCAGCTTCTGTGATGGTACTTGGCGTGATAGCAAGTGATGGAAGAAAGTGTCTACCAGTTTTTGTGAAAAAAGGTCAAAAAATTGACAGTGATGAGTATATCCACCTCCTGCAAGAGAAGGTCATTCCCTGGTTAAACAGAAACTATCCAGATGGTCAGTATGTGTTTCAGCAGGATGGGGCACCAGCTCATACTTCAAAAAAGACACAAAATTTTCTCAGTGAAAACATGAGTCAGTACTGGGACAAATTAAAGTGGCCCCTATCTAGCCCAGATCTGAACCCATTAGACTTTTTTATGTGGACGGATGCGGAGAAGGAGGCTTGCAAGATTCCCCATGGAAGTACCGAGTCATTAAAAAAATCTATATGCAAAGCATAGGCCAAAGTTTTCTTTCTGATATCTGATGTAGACTTATCCGATTGCAACATTTGCAGAATGCTTCGCCTTTTTGATTCTTGCAGATCTATTTTAATTAAATTTTTTTAATTTTTACACTTTTTTTATTTCTGTGTTGACATCATTGCATAATTTATAAACAAATAGATCCATATCTACAAGCATGGATAGAACCTTAAATTTGAGTGCAACGCAGTCGCGTGGTCAACCGGTACAAACACTACAATGGTTGCTGCTCAAGCAAGCTACTACTTCTTGTTCCAACAACCAAAACCCAACATTTCATTCAGCTGAGCCATATATTTTTACTACAACTTAATGCTCGAAAAATTTATTCATCTATTTTTCATCATTCATTTTTTCCCCTCAATCATCAAAGCTTTAGAATTTTCTGTATAAGTTTTATGTATAAATTGCATGAGTCATGAAATGTTTGCATGACAATTTTTTTGAAGGCATCAACCATTTTATTACATTCTTATTAAAGCAAATTAGATTAACAAAAAATAATTTAACTGTATTAATTTTATCATATCCTAGAACACATATTTTTTAGTATAATAAACAATATATACCATTTTTTTAATCATAAAAACTTTAAAGTTCATTACTTACGGAAGTAGTTGCAGAGAACATTCAAAAAACAATACAAGTAGCGATGACAATGGTGCAGGTAAAGTCACAGAGTTACCCATTATATAATTGAGAATACTTTTTAGGCCTGCTCCAGGCCCAAGTGAGTAAACAAACTTCCATAAACGCACAAGCACTTCCTCTTGCAAACTCAATGCTTTAAAAACAAAAAATTCAATAAAGAAAAAAAGTTTGTAAATATTGTTATAAAATTTTTTTGTGTTTACAAAATGGAAAATTTTATATTTATATTATTTAGTCATATTATATATTTGTATATCTTTTATTTTATAAAAATTTTATGTTTATGGTAAAGTTTATATTTAGTTTAGTTTTTTTTTACTTTAATAACACAATTTTTTAAATTACATTATTTTTAAGTTAAAATATTTGTTTAAAAAATTAAACAAATATGTAGCCAAATATCTATTTACAAATAGTACATTGATATTTGGCTACATATTATTTGTTTACACATAATATGTAGCCAAATATCTATGTAGTATTTGTACATAAATATTTGGTTTTACATATTATCTTTAGTTTTTTTTTGGTACAAGAAATTTCTGAATACATAATATCTTTAGTCTTTTTTTGGTACAAGAAATTTCTGAAGCTTAAAATAGACAGAGCAATAGAAGCCCACATTAAAATGTAAAATATTTATGTGAAACTAAACTGAGCAATGAAAGTCCATAGTAAAATGTAAATTACTTATAGAACAAAAATTATGTCAAGTAGAAAAGGTAATAGAAACAAAAAAAAATTAAAAACAAAAACAAAAAGTAATTACATTATTTTAATTTAATAAAATTCATTATGTTTTAAAATTTTGTTTATATAACATTTCAGAGCAAAAAAAATTAAAAATGAATAAAAGTTATTTTCAATAAACTATATCTGTTGATTTCATTAGCTTTCAACATGGATTTAACTTTTTGTTTCACTTTCTTTCAATGTTCAATGTAGAGTCACAACTAAAACTAATAATTTTTGTGTTAACAAGATAAATAAAAACTAATACTACTGAACAATAATTGCAAATACTAATTCATCTTAATGTATAGGGGCCATCCATAAAGGACGTCACCATTTTTTAGCCAATTTTTGCCCCCTCCCCCCCTCTTTTGTCACCGGTTGTCCTTTTTCCCTATATCCCCCTGGAAAAGGACGTCATAAAATCCTGACCCCGCTCCCTATTTTTAACTCCAAAAAAATTTATTTCATCTTGCAATGATGTTTGAATCTGCTGCTACACCTTTGAAAAATAAAATTAAAAATATTCTCATACATTATCTTCTCAAAAACACATGTTTACGTAGTTTTCCATGTTAATTAAACTAAAATAAAAAACTTATAAAGTGACGTCTTTTTCTGACAACCTCCCCCCCTCCCCTTTTCCTTTTTTGTCCTTTTTAACTCGACCCCCTCCCCCACTATTTGGATAACATCCTTTATAGAAGGCCCCATATAACTTAATGTACTGCAAGTATTAATTTATTGTATTGCAGGTATTAATTTAATGTATTGCAAGTATTAATTTGCTAAATTAATAATTACAATACATATTATATTTAATAAATTACAATTTTTACTTAGTCATTCTCAAAAAAAACCTCAAAATACCACATAGAATGAACAGTGAAGTGAATTTGAGCTAATGCTCAATTAACCATTATTATTTATGATGCATTGTTATTTATTTTTTTTCACATTTCGAATATGTGACAATTATAAAAAAAGATGTACCAATACTGGGTTTTTGTATGATGCAAGTATAATTGTTACTCTATGTTTAACAAGAGAAGGTAGATCAGTCTCGTTCATCAATGGTTAAACCTGAGCCCTAAGCTGGACTTCCAACAAGGCTGTAAGCAACCACTATTAGAGTTGAAAGTTACTGGAAGAGAAAAGATGAAAATTTATAGAGCAAGATAACGATTAACAGACAACTTAAAAAATTGCAAATTATTTGAATCAGGAAAACAAGATGAAGGAAGCGAATTTCAAAGGTCTAATGTTCAAAACTAGAAAAAAAAACGTTTTGGGAGCATTTAGGAACAGTCACAGTAAAAGGATAAGACTTAATTGAATGACGACTAACACAAGAGTGAATTTTAGTAGATGACACAAGAGACTCTAGCTCTTAAGAGCAGTGGCCATTATAGTATTTTAGAAAAAAGAAAGAGATTTTTATGACAATGTGATAATAGTAGGAGGTTGGCTGCAATAGCGGATTTAACTATGTTTACATTTTTGCATCTTGCCTAAACGAGAAAGGAAATCATTGGAAGATTTGGCCCAGATATGCCAACAGTACTTCATACAAGGACAGATTTGAGATTTATAGAGATAAAAAATAGAATCCTAGAGTAAGAAAGTGGCAAGCACGATAAAGAGATGCAACCGTTGCAGATACGAATTAAAGTTCACCAGCCACTGCGAGCCCCATACTGTAGCAAAAATGAGATCCTTTTCAAGCTCAAATGCCTCCTCCAAGCAACCAGAGAGTGAATGTCTTATCAAGACAAGAATAAATGGTAGTATCATAAGCGAACAATGCAACTTTAAATAGGAGACGACCAGCATGCCAAACTTTATCAAAAGTTCTAGAAATGCAGAGAGCAATAACCTTAGCCTCTCCACATTTATCTAATGCACAATAAAACCGTAATTACTGTTAATAAATCAGCAATAGAACAAGAAGATCGAAATCCATATTAATGATCAGAAAGTTATTAGATTCAAAACTCAATAACAATAACCAGATATGAAACCAAAGACCATAAACAGATTTGAAACCAAATTTCCCAATTTTTCCAGACACTCTAACCAACTGCGCTTCTGATTGCTCATTTGATGTCACATGTCAGTTTTGATTGTAACAAAGCAGTAACAATCTAACCAAGTATATCCATAATGGTAACTAATTACCTCAGGCTAAACAGCAAACAGTATAAAATTACTGCAGCCATAAAAATATTTTATGTTGTATATATTTGATTAGTTAATTTACTTTATAAAATTTACCGTTTAATAAAAAATGAATTTTTTTAAAATAAACACATGTATGTTTTTGTAAAATATATACTTAAAAAAAAATCAAACTTAATCAAAGCCCAAATTAATTATCACAAATATTTTTTAGTGTTCCATTGTCTATTAATAGTTAAAATAAAACAGTGCAAAGCAACAAAAGTGAAGGACATTCAAAACATTTCAAGACACCTGATTGATATCTTGACAACTTAGTTATATTTAAACTAATAAAAAAAAATTTTTTTCTAGGCATTAAAATGTAGGGCTTAACATATCTTTGGACAAAATATTAGGTCTCAAGATATCTTCAGACAAGTTATTACAGACCTTGCGATGAATAAGAACTGCGCGACGCATAAGCACGACGTGATTTTTGACGTCATTAAATTCTTTTTATTTGCTTTTCATATTTATCGACATTAACTGCACCAATTTACTTAATTACCGCAAAACTACTTTAAATCGTTTATGTAGAAATGTTATTATTTAAAAATGTTTTGGAATGTTTCGTTTTTTAAAATGTAAAAACATTTGTTTATTTTCTCGACGTTTGTCACGTTTTGTCATTACTAAACAAATAAAAAACATAACTTAAATTTAAAAAAGATTATAAAATATGCTAATATTTGATTTTTTTTTTCTTAAATATGTAATTTAAAGTTTTTCAAATAATTATTTTTTCTTTTTAAAAAGTCAGCGAGTAATAAACTGGAAATTTTAATATTGTACGATTAAAAACTGTGCAATAGCTAATATTTTTACAAGCGATTTTATATAATATTTATTTATTTATTTTTATTTATTTTCAAAAAGCGGTTGATAAGCACAATCACTCGTATTAATAAAAAACTTAAACAAACGTTTTGAATAATTTTTAATGTTAACAAGGAATTTTATTTCTAGTAAAATAAAATAAAATGTTAGAATAAAAATCTTATAGGTATAAAAGAAATATTTCAGCGAAAAAATTATTCTTAAAAATTATTCGAATTTAATTATTCAAAACTATTGACGTTCTATTTTTCAGCAGCTGTTCTTGAGCACGCTTCGTTGAGTTTCGGTAACTTTTAACAAAAAAGCGATCGTTATTATTTAAGTAATTTTTATCGAGTTTTTATCGATTTATCGATATCGATATTATCGATATCGATAGTATCGATTTTTACAAAACTTTTAATAGCTGTACTTTTTTATTGAATCAAGTAGAATACGTTTTAATATTAATCCTTTAATTTTTTTTATTGGCGCTTACCAATTTTTAAAATATTTCCTCAAAATTACTCTTTAATACTTTAAATACGTCTAACAGTTAATAAATATTTTTAAATCTATGGAATAATTTTAAAACCTAACAAACCTTCGTAAAATAATTATTTAAGTTAAAAATCTAAAACTAAAAGAAAGTATTTTTGTTCATTTTTATCGACAACTTTGCTATTGCTGAATAATTTTATTAAAATGTTAGCTTAAAAAGATTTAAACTTTTTTTTCAATCTTAATTTTTTCTACTTGTAAATAATAAGCATATTTAAATTTTCTGTAATTCAAACTTTTATATCAACAGCGTGCGGTTTTTAAAATACTTTATTAAATGTTAAAATAATCGTAAATTACTTCATTAAAATTCAGCTCAAAAATATCTTTAAATATACTCAAACAAAAATTTTTTTGCTCGACGCAAATAGCCCTAGCTACACGCAAAATTGCTCTTGGACGACGTAAAATTCACATCGCCCGACGCTTTATCGCAAGGCCTGTTATTAGGTTTCAAAGAAAATTCAAGAAAAAAAAAATAATATAAAGAATTTAAACAAAATAAATTTTGATTCAAAATAGTTTTTCTATTCAATGCATTTTAGATGCTGCATTTTCAGATCTGCTTAGCACTTTTTGAAAATATTTCAATATTATGAGAGATATACATGCAAATGATCTATTTTTGATTGTATACTTTTTGGTTGATACAATCAGTAAGACCTCAATTGTGATATAATTTTAAGATTATTTTACTATTTATTTTAGACATCCCCCCTAGACATTGTTCTCATCTTAAAATTGTATTCATTTTGCTTCAACTTTAAATAACAATTTAAAAAAAACTGCACCGTAAACGAAGTTATAACAATTGTAAACTATTGCATAACAATTGTAAACAATTACAAATTTATTAAATATTACATATTATAATTAACAAAAAACATAATATAAATTGATTGCTATAAATTTTAAAATTACTTAAAATAGTATAATAAATATATACAAAGTTGAATCAATTACTACTTGAATTAGCAACTATAAAGTAGAAATACAAAAATGCTCAAAGCCTACTACAACCATATTTTTAAATAGTTTAATTTATGGTAAATATTATAATTTATGTCATACAATATAACTTATTTCATACAATATAACATACTTATTTAATATACTTTTAATTGCTTACCTTTATTTTACCTCTTCATTATAAATCTTTGTACTTAATATAATATATCTATGCAGGCCTTGTTATGAGATTCTATAGCATAATGCATGTAAACATAAGCCAACTTATGTTTACATGCATTATGTATTGTCACATTAGCTTTCTTGTATTGTTTATAAGCTTATGTTTACATTAGCTTATTTGTATTGTTTATAAGCTTATGTTTATATTACCTTATTTGTATTGTTTATGAGCTTATGTTTATATTACCTTATTTGTATTGTTTGTTTTTTTAATTGTTTGAAGTTAAACTGTATTTTTAGTGTATTTTAAATTTATAAATTATTGTACTAAATTTTAAACCATTAAAAATTATTTAAACAATAAAAATCATTTAAACAATACAATTATAGAAAATATTATTAATGAAATCTAAATTCAGTATTTGATTAAGAATTGAATAAATTTCAAAGTTAAAAAAATTGTTTTTTTCGTAAATTTGTTTATTCAAAAATATTTAAAAAAAGTTTAATCATTAAATTCTCTAAAATACTTACAACTCATGGTTTATCTAAAAACTTACAGACCTCACTCATGGTTTATGCGAAAACTTACAGACCTGACTCATGGTTTATCTAAAAACTTACAGACCTCACTCATGGTTTATGCGAAAACTTGCAGACCTGACTCATGGTTTATCTGAAAACTTACAGACCTCACTCATGGTTTATGCGAAAACTTACAGACCTCACTCATGGTTTATCTAAAAACTTACAGACCTCACTCATGGTTTATGCGAAAACTTACAAACCTGACTCATGGTTTATCTGAAAACTTACAGACCTCACTCATGGTTTATGCGAAAACTTACAGACCTGACTCATGGTTTATGTGAAAACTTACAGACCTCACTCATGGTTTATGTGAAACCTTACAGGCCTCACTCATGGTTTATCTGAAAATGCATTTATAAACAGTTAATCATAAGTGAATGAAAAAAATTCATCGATATTAAACTATACATAAATAAACAAAAACCATTGAATGTAAAATAAACATAAAATTTAATTTAGTTAAATATGAAAAGTTCAAACTTAACCTGTTAACAGTCCATGCCGTATTGTTATGTAAACTTAAAGTGGTCATCAGTAATTAGTCTACTTGTCACAAAATTTATTACTACATAATTACAGAGCTTTTGTTATACACATTTTCACTTTAATTTTAATTATGACATATTTTCTTTCAGTGCAAAAATAATTATCAAAAAAGTAAATATTTACTTACAAAAAGATTGAAAATTATACATTTGATGAATCAATAATGAAAATATAAATTTGATGAATTAAAAATGATAATAAAAGATTAATACTCAAAGAAGGTGTGTGGTGTGTTGCAAACACAAAATTCGAAAAGAAGAAGGTGTGTGGTATGTTACAAACACAAAATTCGAAAAGAAGAAGGTGTGTGGTATGTTACAAACACAAAATTCGAAAAGAAGAAGGTGTGTGGTATGTTACAAACACAAAATTTGAAAAGAAGAAGGTGTGTGGTATGTTACAAACACAAAATTCGAAAAGAAGAAGGTGTGTGGTATGTTACAAACACAAAATTCGAAAAGAAGGTGTGTGGTATGTTACAAACACAAAATTCGAAAAGAAGAAGGTGTGTGGTATGTTACAAACACAAAATTCGAAAAGAAGAAGGTGTGTGGTATGTTACAAACACAAAATTCGAAAAGAAGAAGGTGCGTGGTATGTTACAAACACAAAATTCGAAAAGAAGAAGGTGTGTGGTATGTTACAAACACAAAATTCGAAAAGAAGAAGGTGTGTGGTATGTTACAAACACAAAATTCGAAAAGAAGAAGGTATGTTACAAACACAAAATTCGAAAAGAAGAAGGTGTGTGGTATGTTACAAACACAAAATTCGAAAAGAAGAAGGTGTGTGGTATGTTACAAACACAAAATTCGAAAAGAAGAAGGTGTGTAGTATGTTACAAACACAAAATTCGAAAAGAAGAAGGTATGTGGTATGTTACAAACGCAAAATTCAAAAAGATTCAAGATATAAATGTGTAGAATGTGATCAGTGTTGGAGTGAATTCAATTCAAATGAACTCAATTCACGAATTCAATTCATTTCTTTGAATTGCGAATTTGAATTGAATTCAATTTTTTGTTGATGAATTTGAATTTGAATTCAATTCATTTCCCGTTTGAAATTGTAAATAAAATTAATTGAAATTCAAATTCATTCATTTTAAAATTAAAATCAGACATTGTACAAAGAAAAAATAAGATAAATAAAATCTGCTCCACTTGTATTATGTTCTGTTACGTAACCGTTGTTTACAAAGTCAAAGTGCATGGTGGGAATTTCGAGTTTGTGGATAATGGAGGAAGACAGTTTTGAACGTTTTGTTATGTTTTGAACAGAATGAACACGCCAGTTGTGCGGGACTCATCGCAAGTAGTCGGCGTAATAGACTAAATGACCTTACATTTGAGAAACTGTTGTTGTTAAAATCAAATGGATATTAATACTAGTATGAACTAAAAAGTAAGAGCGATGCATTATTAAGTTGACAGGACTATGTTCTATTTTCCTGACTGTCATGTCACAAATAAATGTTAATGTAATAAATTAATAAAAAAATTTTGAACTTGAATTGAATGGAAATTAGTGTCCATGAATTTGAATTTGAATTGAATTCATTTTATTTTCAACGAATTTGAATTTGAACTCAACTCATTTCATTCTAAGTGAATTTGAATTTGATTTGAATTCATTTTAAAAGTGAATTGATCCAACACTGAATGTGATATAGGACTTTGTGCAGCTCCATGTTTTTCCAATTATCATAGAAAAATACTTTTTGTATGATAATTGGAATTCAATTCCAATTATCATACAAAAAGTAAATATTAGTGAACACATTTTTTAAATTTTGTGTTTATGTAGTATGATTTATTTATTCTTAAACTTGAATAATAACATTTTGTAGTGTTTAATAATGTTAAAAATAGTAAAAAAACTTTTTTTATTCTATTAGTAAAAAAACACGATGATTTTAAAAACATGGAATATTTAGAAACTACTTCAAAAAAAAAAAAAGCTGGACTATTATTGACCGTATTTTAAAAACGACACGGGACTGTTAAGGGGTTAAAGCATTTTTTCTTTAACTCAGTTTTTTTTTAAGTGAAAAAAAATTTTTTTTTTTTCAATAATTTTTGAACTGCAATCAAAATGTATTTTACAATGATTAATTACAAGCTAATGCTTTCTAAACAAATACTGCATAAACTTTATCAAAAGACAATTCCAATATTCCAATATAAAAAGGTTTGTGCTTAACAATAATGGCTAAACATAAATGGCTTAACACGTAGGTAAAATCACCATTTCCTACTTGAAGTGTATACAACATAATGCTTCTTAACAAGGTCTCCTAAGCATCTATGAATGAAGTATCAGTAAGTGATACTTCTGTGTATCTCATTGTTTTATATTTATCTACATTTATCTTCTTTAATTTAGTTTTAATGCATCAATATAAAAAGTTTGAAAATTTATCTTGCTAATAAACAAAATACCTCAACCAACCTGCAACAATTTCCATTTTAAGTTGAATCAAAGATACAGTCAAAGTGCGATATAAATCACATGATGTGCAAATATCCATTACTATTGGTTCATTCAGATCTAAAGTTTCAGAAGGTTTCTTAAATGTTTTCATGAAGGCTCTTCGAAGTAAACGACCTAAAAATAATTTAATATAAGAAAAACCTTTTATAATGAAATTGAATTAATTTAAAACAGTAAATTAATTCAATTTCATTGATATTTTAAAAAACAAAATTTTCTAATAATAATGAACAAGAATAAAAAACTTTAAAAATAACCTTTAGATTGATTCTCACTTTCTTGAACAACAAGTCCTTCTGACTCAGTGGATGACGGTAAATTTTCAAAAAAACATTTGATTAACTGGTGATGCCATAAAACCTTAATTTGTTTTATTATATGAACATATGCTTCATTCAACGAACTAAAATTGAAAATTAAAAAAGAAAAGAAATTATCATGATAATAATTAATCCATTAGATAATTCTAATCTCTTATTCACTTTATGTCTTACAACTAATGCAAAACTAAATTAAACTTTTTCCACAATTTTCTATATTTAAGTCAATGTTTTTTATCCCTCAAGTAACAAAGATTCTATGTAATTTCTTATTAATGGTTCTCTTCTTCTATTGGTGCTCTTCTTGCCTATATCATTTATATTAAGAATTTTATTTTACTTTCTTCTTTTTAACCAGAAAGGTTCACCAAGAACTAATGCCTTTTTGCAACGACCAGAAATCAGTGCAAAAAAGTTTCTTTCTAACTTACACTTGTCAAGTTTCAATATGTCTTGCTTCTCCAAGATTAGTTGTTTTTAGTCCAGTTTAAAAACCTCACCATCAAGAAACAAAGTTACAACTTCAGTAACTTTTTTTTATCTCTTCTTTGTTTCACCATAAAAGTTCAAGTTAATGTTACATGCAAATCAATTTACACTCTAAGCATGATTGCAGTTTAAAACCATTATAAAAAAATTCATTAATCATTAATCATCTTTTAAAACTAAAAATACATATTGTGATATAAGCGTTTTCGATTTTTAATAAACAAAAAAATAAAGATGCAAAATTTAATGAACAATATTAAAATACAGAAAATAACACATAATTATGCAATAAAAATGTCAAAATTACCAACTGGTGGAAACCTCATTGTACCATCCAAAAATTGGATTCCATTTTGAATTGCCTGATTGTTTTCCAACGCACAGTTGAATGTTCTTTAATAGCCCAATTAAAACCACCTAAAAATGTTTCAGTTTTTTAAAATTAATAAAAAACCTTAAAAAAATAAAAAGACCTGCTTAAAATTAAAAAAGTTAAAATTAAACTGTCAACAACTTTGAAATGAAAAAATACCTTTAATTGAAACTTCAACTTTTGAAACTGCTATAATAAAATAAATAACTGCTATAACAAAACAAAATATTTATTTTTATTCTACATCTATAAACAATATACAAATAACATATCGTAGCATGAGTATTATAAGATCTAATCTGACAGTTTTTATGTTGTGAGAATTTAACTTTTTATATCTGATTGTTAAAATGTTTTACTGCTGTTATTCTTTATAATTATAAACTATATGTCAGTTATATTATTTATGTTTAAACTTAAAATATTATTTATATAATTTTTAGGTTGTTTGTTTTTGATATTATTTGTTAATTAATACTTATTGCTAAATTCCTATTAAATAAAAAAGGCAGGTAAAACCCTATAACTTTTATGCGCCCATATATACATATATGTATTTATTTACATATACATATGTATTTACTAGGGATGTACCGGAATAGAAGTTCTGTCCTAAACCGGATTTGCCAGAGTCATTAATAAAATTTCACCTGCAACAAGATTTATACTTATGTAATTTTTTACCTTCAATATTGAAAGTGAAAGCCTGCATCTCAACATTGTGGCTATATAATATGTATTTATAACCTATAATATATATATAACCTTTTTCATTAATTTGATTCTTGTTTCATTGAAATCTAATATATTGTTTTTATTTGCTATTAAATTTTATGTATAAAAAGTTTTAATCTGCATAACATTTATATCTGAAATGATTTCTTTGTTTTCTATTTTTCTATTTAGGTTAAAATTAAAATATTTACTGTATAAGACATCCTATATTTTTTAACTATTTACAATTTAAGTAACATTTAAAATGAGATTATTCTCAGAGGCAGGTAACATTTTTAATAAAAAAAAGCTAGTTTGTTGCCAAAACTGGATAACAACCCTTTTTGCACCACAATATTCCTAAACTTTTAGAAATCCTTACATAATTGGTTATTGCAAATAAAATTATATTGTGTTCATTTTTTTTTTAATTGTATTTTTGTAGAAATTTATATTTTTTACCTAGGTTTACCTAGAGTTCTTTATTGCCCTGTAGGACAATAATTTTTTGATTTAATTTACAGAATTTGTGTCACATGTCTTAAAAAATAAAGGTAAAAATAAAATTCTGGCATTCGGGCCTAAAATATTGTAACTACGGATGGAACCGTAATGAACTAAAAGTCACAAATTCTGGCCGGAACGGAATTCCGGTACATTCCTGGTATGTGTGTGTGTGTGTGTGTGTGTGTGTGTGTGTATATATATATATATATATATATATATATATATATATATATATATATATATATATATATATATACATATATATATATATATATATATATATATATATATATATATATATATATATATATATATACATATATATATATACATATATATATATATATATATATTAGAGTGTCCAAAATGACATGAATTTTTTTTTTATTTCGAACTACTTTTATATGTAGTATATATATATTTTTATATGGTTTCATATGTAGTTTTTCTACCAAAACCAACAACAACAAAAAATTCTGAAAATTTTTATTATTGACCATTCTTCCCATATAACCCTTTTTTAAGTTTTTTTTTTCTCTAAAAATATGACAAAAAAAGTCTAAAAACATTTTCAATAATCAACTATGTTTACATTTTTAACAATTTTCTTATTTAGCTTTGTTTAATAAAACCTGATGAAATGTTATTTTTAAACAAATTTTAAATAAAACTCCCTTACAACCCTTTTTAAAATGCTTTTCCTAAAGTAATCCTAATTATACTTATTAGTTATATTTATTAACATATTTATTCAAATTTTCAAACAGTTTTATATATAGTTTTATTTACTAAAACCAAATAAAAATTTATTCAAAAGAATTTTCACTGACCAAGAACTCCTTCCCCTCCTCATGATACCAACCCTCCCTGCCCCCTCCCTCCTTACTCCTTATAATATTTTCTGCCTTAAACACTGAATTTTTAGAATTAAAGTTTTTGATTAAAAAAAAAGAAAGAAGCATACTTGATAAATAATTTCAAAATTCATCATTAAAATTTATTTTTATGACAAACAAGGAAATACATGATTAGTATATTTGAAAATATTTATTCTAACTGGGACTGAGCTGGGACAAATTACTCATATTTAAAGTCTTTTTTTTTTAATTATGACAACAAAATAAAAATATTAGGAAGGTATTAGTAATAAAAAAAGGCATTGTTTAAGTTTTCAAAATTTGAGTTTTTTAATTGCTTTTTTATCTAGGAAAGAATTTTTCAGTTCTAGTTCTACTGCAAATAAAAGGAATACTTTTTGCTATTCATCATAGATTTTGCATAGTCTCTGTCGGTTTATAATTTCTACAGTTCATTTATCATGAGTTCATTCATATTTTCAGAACTATTAGATCTTTATATTCTGATAATTTACATTTATATTTTTATAGAATCTTGTACTAGAATCATTCTGACATTCTATGATTAATCTTCTAATATTCTGGAACTTATTTGCTCTAATAAAATAAATAAATAAAAAAAATTTATGAAATAAATAAGGTAAGGCTGAGCCCTTTATAAACTTATAGTTTTTAATTTAGCTATAAAAAAATAATAATAATAAAAGCTAAATCATATCACATTTATATATATAAACTTACATGTCAAGCTAAATCAAATTTATTATAAATTAAGAGCTCAACTTGGCTTTTAATTGTGAAATAAATGTAAAAAAAAAACAAATAAAAAATTTACCTCAGTATTTAGGTGAAACAGATAAACTAAATTACCTAAACAAAACAAAATAAACTTAAAACAAACTTAAAAAAATATAAAACAACCTTAAAGTAAGTATATAACATAGGGGAGAGTTGCCCTAATTGGAATAATTAAGGAATAAATATTTATTAACCAAAGATGGCTTAACTATGAAAACATTTATGATTTGAATAATACAAACAGACATCCCTACTATACTTTAACCACAATTTGACTCAATTGGTTGCACTGCTATTGGAAATAAACTTGTTTTTGCAAAGGTACCATTTTGTTCCAATCAACTTATATATAAGTTTGTTTTCTCTAACTTTTAATGTACTTTTTTAATATATTTTAAGTCCGACAACTGGTTCCCTAAATTATTTAAAAACTTTGGCATATAAAATTCGCCGAATGGTCACACACGAGCAGTGAACGCCTGAGGGAAGAAATGAAGTACATTAGAATAAAGGAGAATTATTTATTAGACAAAGCATATTTTGACAGTTGTCAAGACAAAAATAAAGATTAATAGAGGAATATTTAAAAATAAATAAGACAGGCTATACAATTAAAACAGTACTCAACAATAATAACAATAAAAAAAATTAAAAAAAATTTAAAATAAATAATAAAAAATATATATATATATATAAATGAAAAAAATTAAAAAAAAAAAAAAATTGTTTTATAAATACCAATATGAACTAAAATATACAAGAAATACATAACCAGTCAAAAATTTGTAAAACAAAAAACCATTCAACAAATTAAAAATATGCTAACAACAATGAAAGGATTAATAATGGAAAAAAAAAACATTAATGCTAATGTGTAAACATAATTAGTGTAGTGATTAAGTAATAAACATCTCCTCAGAGTCGTGTCTATTATTACTGGCGTTTCGATGAGGATCAGCATTTATAACTAGTTTATCCCGTCAGACAAACGTCATCGCCACTTATGCTTTACCCTGCGACTTACGCCTATTCCATACTGCAGTAAAGAAGGACTCACTACAAATAGCCAAAACCCAACCAACCCCAAATTTGTAAAGCACCAATATTTTTTAATGATATGATATAAATAGTATAGATTTACTGAACAAACAAAAATAAAAAAAACTAAATAAAACACTTACCGTACCACCAAAAGAAAACATGAAAACAAAATAAATTAAAATTCTAATAGAAACATAAAAATATTAATCAATTTATTTTAAGAAATAAAACCAAATAGGTATTATTAGCATAAACAAGCCCAAGATAATCAGAAAGCAGTATACCTCATTAAAATTTTTTTTTTTTTTTTTAATAAACAAAACAATACCCTTAAATAAACTCTAACGCTGTCATAGATACCTCATTTGAAATATGATAACCAATCAAAAGTGTAGGAAAATGAGTAACCCGCGAAACCCAAAATCATAACAATAATAGAATAATATATGATAGCGAAAAAGAATGTTGCACAAAAACCTTAAAAATGTAAGCGACATATATGTAAACATTAAATGAAGGATATAAAAATATTCTCTGAATAATAATAAAGATAAAAATTGTGCATGTGAAAATTAAAACAAAGCTGAGTAATGAATGCAAGATAATATAACATGAAAGTTTCTGTAAACAGTAATAATATGAAAATCAGGAGATAAGTAATATATTAATAAATATAGCAATAAGACTAAATAAATATTGTAATAAAACAAGATAATTTTAAGCCAAATGAGTGGTTAAAAAATTAGTTATGGGTATTATAACAATGATATAAATCATGATATAAAAACGATGTAGAAAGCGGGAAAAAAAAATTGTTAAAAAGTGAAGTTTTCTCTACGGTCCGAACTAAAAGAAACTTTGAAACCATATCTAAATCGAAATTTCCGAAAAATAATGTTTTCTCTACGGTCCGAATTAAATGTAACTTTGAGACCATAAAAAAAATAACAAGGAAAGACATACTTCATAAAAACAAGTCGAAAGCCGTTAGTTTATAAGAATCGCTCTTATACTTATATGTAAATTCAGATGAATCCTTTAATGAAAAATTTAATCACACATGATAAACACATATAGATAACATACAAATCTGTATTTACATTTCAACAACATATCTATTAAAAGAAAATATTATCTAAATAAGGATGAGATCAAACAAAGATTTATCTATGAAAGAACAAAAAGTATGCAAAAGATGTAAACAGGCTGTATGTGCATAAGAGTGTATAGGTGTAATGTGTAAGTCTGTGCTGTTTATGTCGTTCAGTAGAGTCTTGTATTGTTAGTAACCAGCATAAAAGATTTGTCTCTGAACTAAACCAAGCCAGCTCAGCCATACTCCAGAAAACCATGATGGATTAAACACCTATGCATGGATTCATAACTGACTTATGACTAAAAAGCTAGCCCAGGCATCTTCCACAGACAAAAACCCTCTTTCGCGGTGACAGTAATTGCGATTAGGAAAATAGTCGTGCTCGATGACCGTAACACTAACCCTTACGGGCTAGGCCCAATATTATTTAAAAACTTTGGCATATAAAATTCGCCGAATGGTCACACACGAGCAGTGAACGCCTGAGGGAAGAAATGAAGTACATTAGAATAAAGGAGAATTATTTATTAGACAAAGCATATTTTGACAGTTGTCAAGACAAAAATAAAGATTAATAGAGGAATATTTAAAAATAAATAAGACAGGCTATACAATTAAAACAGTACTCAACAATAATAACAATAAAAAAAATTAAAAAAAATTTAAAATAAATAATAAAAAAAAAAATATATATATATATATAAATAAAAAAAATAAAAAAATAAAAAAAATTGTTTTATAAATACCAATATGAACTAAAATATACAAGAAATACATAACCAGTCAAAAATTTGTAAAACAAAAAACCATTCAACAAATTAAAAATATGCTAACAACAATGAAAGGATTAATAATGGAAAAAAAAAACATTAATGCTAATGTGTAAACATAATTAGTGTAGTGATTAAGTAATAAACATCTCCTCAGAGTCGCGTCTATTATTACTGGCGTTTCGATGAGGATCAGCATTAAAAATCACTAAATAAAGTATTATTTTTACAATTTATGGTTGTTACAAAGTATTTTTTAATTGCACTTAAACTATTTTTACAACCCTTTGATTTTATTACTGATTAGGTAAGGAAAACTTTAATGTTCCAATCAAGGAAACTTTAGACTATTTTGTTATATCACAGCAATAACATGCTTGCAGCAACTTATAAGATAAGTTTATATTGTTATTTTGCATTTTAAATCCCATCAAATTAAACACAAAAAATCAGATACCATATAGCACCATAGTTTACTAAGCGCAACCAATAAAGTGTGAACGCAAAATTAGATCACTGAAAAAAAATGGTGCAAAAAAACTTTAAATCAATGGTGCAAATGCATTTTTTGAGAAATAACTTTTAAAATGTGTCAAAACATAGAAAATAATGCGTTTTACTAAAAAAAATGCAAAATATAGCCATAATTCATTTTTTGTGTTCCAATTAAGGCGCTGTTCCAATTACGGCAATTCTCCCCTACATAATTTAAACATAAAATTTGAAACCAAGAAAAAAAAAGATTAAATAAATTTTTCCAACTATTATAAAACCATTTCGATTAAAAAATTCAAACTCACCAACAACACAAAGTGATCGATTAACATCAAGTTTGGTGTAAATTTGTTTTAAATTTTCATAGTTATAAAGATATTCGATAGTCTTTGGAAATATTTCCTTTAGAATTCCTCCACTCTGAAAAAAATACATAACACATTTTTTTTTAATGCTGGATAAAGGGTGGGGATATTTACTGGGATTCTTAAGATAACAGAATCTTACCAATGGAATTAAAGAAAAATCTAACAACTTATGTATTCTGCAATCACAATTCCTTTTTTTTTTTCATAGACAGCTTTTATTTTGGAAGTTTATTCTAAAGTAAACTTCCAAAACAAACAGTTTTAAAAACTTTTTATGTATAAAATAGATTTTTTTGTAAAGACTACATGTGTCATGTCTAAAGGTTCAAAAACTTCCTACACTATTTGATAATAGAGCATTATCCATAAATGTTACCAATTTTTATTTTTGTCTTCCTTTTATTCTTTTACACATTTAAATAAAAAAAAGTAATTGTTGATTAAGATAATTAGGAAGGATGAATTAATAATAATAATTTCTGCAACATTAGTTACCTCAGGTGCCAATTGATTCAAGTGGTATATGTATGCAGGTATAGAGAGAACATGTACAATAAAATGCATTGTTGGTACACTTTCAGATAAAGTCTTGAATGATCTAAAAAGAATCAAAGCTTAAAGGCTTAAAGTATAAGTTCATTTATTACAGCTAAAAAAAAATTAGTTTTTTTCAATATTCATTAGAAATGTGTGCAAAATAATTAGACTTGAAGCCTTTTAAAATTAAACAACTACTTTTAAAAGGGTTGGGGTTGTTGTTTGGAGGTTGCTTTGCAAGAAATCAAATTTTAGAGCAAGTTGATACAATCATTTTGTTTTTTTTTTCCCCTGTCACCTTACTGGTCTCGATCCACTTTTTCTAGAAATCTTTTTCATTTATTCCACCTGTCTTAAAAAGAACTCTTTTACCTCTTGCTCAAAATTCTTCAATCTTGTTGATTGTTGGGAGGATTTGTCTTTTTAGGAGCAATTTACGCATTATTATCTTTGCATCATTAAGAACCTTCTTAGAATAGTGGGATGCGATTGGTCCAAAAGATACACAAGTGCCAATCACTTGGGCTTTTTAATAAATGACAAAAAATTTTTTAAAGAATTTTTTACAAAAAATTATCAACACAGTTAAAGATAAAGAAGTTACGTTTAATTTTAAAAATGTTTGAAGCTTTTTATTAAAGATAAGCAGTCTTATTTTTAATTGAAACAAGTCTAAAGATATCATTTAAGCAGTAGGATAAAAAAAGTAATTAACGTTATAAAATCCACTTATGAAGTTAAATGACAATTACATAAAAAGGTTTTTATAAAAATATTCACGGTATTTATAAATATAATAACTTAAGAAAAAACAAAGAAACTTTTATTTTTATTAACCTAAGTTTTCCATCTAAAATGTTCATTAAAAGAAAAAAAAAGATGTTATAGGCGCATAAAAAAACAAATCATAAAATAAACCTAATTAAAAAAAATTACTTTTTATTAAACAAATCTTTATTAAATATTTATTACATCATCTTGCGAGAGCAAGAATATTTATTTAGACAACTTCTCATAACTAACAATAACAAAAATAATTACCCAATTTAAAAACAAAACAAAAAAACAAAACAAAAAATTATTAAGCTAAAAAATACATGTTAAATTTTATTTTATATTAGCGATATTTTAAATTTTGTTTGTTTGTTTTGTTATAATGATTGGTTTATCAAAAAAATGAAAAAATATTATCACAAACTTTAAACGACATCTTATAAAGAGTTTATTTTTTTATAATAAAAACAAAAACTTCTTTTATGGGATATAACTCCATTATTAATTTTTTTGCTTGAATTTACGCTTGAAGTAATAACTCTTACAATGCCTTCGTTTATATTTGTAAGTTTTACTTAGCAAAAAATAATAGTTTCAAAAAATAATATTTTATAAAAGTTAGATTAGCTTTATATAAATAATAGATTGTACAATATCAAAAAAGTAAAAACAGAAAATTCCTTATATAATTAATAAAGAAAGAATTTTGATTAAAAAAGTTATTTACTTTTGAAAAATTATTTGTTTTTTTTCTCTTGATTTTCTTTTTCTTTTTCTATTTTTTACAAAAAATTAAATTCCTTGTAAACTTGTAAAGTTATGTTATAACTTATAACACTACACCAATAATATTGATAAAGCATATGTTTAACTTTTTTGTCTTAAGAAAATTAAAAATGTAAAGGTACATATTTTTTAATAAATGATACTTGGAAACTTTAATCTTTGTTTGTCGCAAAAATAAAGTGCTGGTAAAGTGATTAACTTGAATTTTTTACTTTGCAACAAGTAATATTTTTTGTTTATTAATAACTTTTCAATGTAAAAAATCATTTTTGGCAAAGCTGTAATTTTAAGAAATAATGAAAAAAAAAAAACTTTTAATTCATTTATACAAATATCGAGAAAAGAAAGAATTTAATTTATTAATGAGAATAAAAAATGTAATACTGAACTTAATTATTTAAAATTAACAAAAAAAAATGAAATAAAATAGACATTCCACAATATGTACATTTACAAAATACTTTTGTAAATGTACATATTGTAATTGTACATACCAAACTTTTTTTTCTTCACTTCAAGCAATGTATATATATATATATAAACATACTTACCTAAAAAATAATGTATTTGTTGCCGATATAATGGTGCCATTCAGAGATATGCTGGCGCGACATAATCCATTCATTAAGAACTCCTGTTTTAAAATAAAAAAAGGAGTAAAAAGTTACTTTGAAATAAGTTCTAATAAAATTAAGTTTAAACATTTGCAAGAGCAAATAATTATGGTCGCCCAAGCACATTTTTCATAGTAAACAATTATGGCAACCAATACTGCAATAACAATAAATAAAAAACAGTAATTCCGAAAATTTACATAAATTAGTTTAAAATGGGAAGTTGTTAAGCTACAAATTTTCCAAAAAAACAATAACAAAAACAAAAAATATATATATTTTAATATTCTTAATTTTTTGTATTAAAAAAAGACAATAGTATTTCTGATGTTTTTAATTTATTAAATAATTTTATTACTATAAAATAATATAAACAAAGTTTCTGTATTTGTAAATTTTAGTAACTACTGTGTTTTTTTTTACAGAAATTAGGCAGAATATTGACGGGGCACTGACAACCCCTAGTGTCTATGGGGTAGCCATCCAAATCTATTATACAAAATTTTTAGTCATAACTGAATCACATTTGTGATTCTCTTAAGTTTGTATTTAACGTATTTCATGAAAAAATCCTTGCACTTAGACTTCAACCTCATGCTTGCAATTTAAAGATTTTTTTTTAATAGAAAAATAGTGTTTTTAAATCAACTAAACATAAAACTATGTATTTATGGATGAAAAGAGATTGAATATAGATTGGATAGTAACTAACTCACAACCTGACCCATATAAAATGCCTTTGATTAAAATAATGCACGCAAATATCACAAAAAAATAAAAGTAAAAATATTTATTTTACAAAAACCTGACTTTTTCTTTATAAATTATTATTTGCTAGAGCTCCCTTAATGATAATTTAAAATAAATGTTTATATTACAAATAGTGCTGCAGACTTTAGGAGGCATCAAATTTCATGCTAACAACTTTTGAAATCAAAATAATTACTGAATGAGCTAAATATTACAAATTACTGTTAAGGTTTATGTTTAAGCACTATTTAATTTTTATCAAGTTACTGCTAACGAAAAGTCTGTAGTCCAAATAATTATGATAATTATGTCTCAATACTAAGACTTTTCACAAAATATGAAAAAATGTGAATATTTTTACACCTACTACATTCAACTGCACAAAAATTTTTTATAAAAGGTTGTTATAAGCATAAAGGTTGTTATAAATATATAGGTTGATAACAGTATAAAGGTTGTTATAAATATATATATATATATATATATATATATATATATATATATATATATATATATATATATGTATATATATATATATATACATATATATATATATATATATATATATATATATATATATATATATATATATATATATATATATATATATATATATATATATATATATATATATATATATGTATATATATATATATATATATAAATATATATATATATATATTTATATATATATATATATATATATATATATATATATATATATATATATATATATATATATATATATATATATATATATATATATATATATATTGTTAACTCAACTCCTCAAGACCACCACTACAGATGAGGAGGTTACTTTATTGTGGTTATAATCCTCTCTCAACTCTATAACTCCGAAACACTAACCTTGACGAACAAGGCTGCTGCACGGAGAAACAAGTTGAGCATGGTACTACCAGAGACATGGTAGGGATCAAACTCAGAACCTCTGGCTTATAAAGCGAGTGCTCTACCACTACACCACTACTGATATATAAAGGTTGTTATAAGCATAAAGGTTGTTAACAATATAAAGTTTGTTAACAATATAAAGGTTGTTATAAATATAAAGGTTGTTATAAGTATGAAGGTTGTTATAAATATAAAGGTTGTTATAAATATGAAGGTTGTTATAAATATCAAGGTTGACTAACTGTTGCCCAAAACTACTAAACAGTTTTAAAATAAAAATAAAAATAAAATAAACTGATATTTTTTGATGTAAAAAATTTCTAGGCAATATATTAATGACATCAGATTTCAAACAACCTACACAATATTTAATTCAAACCTAGTTATTTCTGTTGATTTTATTTAAAATAAACAATGTTTTTGATTGCTTTTTGAAAGTTTGAAAATGTTTTAAATAAAATGGTTGCTAATGAGTTTTTTGAAGTTTGAAAACAAAACAAAAATTATAACAAAAATAGAATAGAACACAATATAATAAAAATAGAAAACTATCAGCATGATTTGACTTTATTTAACATTAAAAAGTTCGAAGTCAAATTTAAAAACTGAATAATTATTTAATAAACAGTTGGTTTTGCTGTTATCTAATTACTTTTCAACAAATATTGTCAAAAGATAAAAAATGTTTTTAAAAAAAAAAGGAAGCAATTAAGATTAATTAAATGATAGAAATAAAAATAAAAGTTTATTTCATAAGATTAGTTAAAAAAAAGTTATTATGATCACATAGAGAAAAGTCTAAAATATAATGTTCGAGTCAAAATCAAACAAGGGGTATTCTAGAACGCTTTCAGCAGTGTCAACCGCATTTGGGTGCCGCACAAATTAAAAATTAAAGACCTTTTTTTTTTTTTTTAAATATGTTTTTTACGGCAAATATTGTTTTTTTTCGCAAAAAATGCAGATACTTGGCAATATTTTCCTAAATTTCTCCGGGAGTACCGTCGCCCAAATTTTTTTCCTAGAATAGCCCCTGGTAATGCACTTCAGGTTGTAAACCTGCTTTAGAAGAGGAGGATAAATTGAAAGTAAAAGATTTATTGCCATAGAAATAACAATTAAAATGAGTAAAAAAAATCCAAATAGCTTGTTATGACATCCCATGCTATTATTCTGTGAGATCATTTTGTTTAGGAAGTGACAACCATGGTTCCCTGGTTATTGACATGTGCAGATAAACAGATTATATATAAATACAAACTTGAAATAAATTAAACCTCTAAACACATTATCATGCCTCTTGAAATTAAGTCTGTAATCAAACTGTTGCACAACTGATGCATGATAGGAGCAATGTTTTCACCTAGTTAAAAAAAAATAATATTGATATTTACTTTTAAAAATTGATTATACAAAATGTTAAAAAAATATCAGCAAATACAAAAAAATAGTTCTAATAAAATTTATTGTATACACATAAACATGTAAGCTTCATATAAAACTCAAATGTTTGTGTAAATTAAATTTTCACTGTAAATGCATCATCTTGTAAACTTTTACATTTGACAAGCCTTTTTACTTTAGCCTTGTTACTATTTTATTTGGTGTCTGCAATCTGAAACATACTGTCTGCAATTTGAAACATACTGTGCCTGCAATCTGAAACAACACTTATTAAATTTCTATAATAACAACTTATCAAATCTTTCAAATATTCATAAACAACTTTTATAAAATGCCTTTGTCTGAAAAAAAAAGCATGTCATCCAAATTTGTCTGAAAAAAAAAGCATGTCATTCAAATGCATTAAAATGAATCTATATAGGGAATAATATAGGCAAAAAAATTTTTAAATATTGTTCAAATTTATTTCAATAACTTTGATAGTGGTAGAGCGCTTGCTTCATAAGAAGCTCTGAGTTTGATCCCCACTATGTAATGTGTATAAGCAAGAAGTTCTGAGTTTGATCCCCAACATGTAATGTGTATATAATAAATATTTTTAGGGCTTAAAATTGTTATTAATTATAGGGTATTAAGTGTTAATGAAATTAGTGGCACAAATTAAACAAAAATAACATACCTCCTTTTATTTTTAAAATTTTCCAACTTGAAGAATCTGTGAATGTAACTAACTAAAAATAATAAAATTTATTCAATTACATTTACATAGTTCCACACTTGTGTGCCCTATAAGATATAATAACTAATAATTAATACTGCTTATAAACTACTGATGATTTCTTTTGACCATTTATAATAACTAAGTTAAATGTTGGATCCTATAATGCCATTATTTTATTTATTATGAAATTATGGATAAATTGAAACAATTTTTTACAACATACTGAAAAAATTTCTAATAAAACTTTAATACTCTTTATTTTAAACAAAAACAAAAATCTCAAACAAAACAAACATATTGTTTTATAATGTTCATTATAAAAGTGCTGCGATCTAATTTTCAAAAAACATTAAAAATATTAAATAACACTGTTTAAAAACTACTGATGACTTTTTTAAATTAAAATTAAAAAAATTTTAAAAGATTTTAAATAAAATATCAACACCACAAGCCACTTTCATTTGTATATACTTATTTAAAAAATTTTATAATAGTAACATTTCTTATACTATCCGATAAAAAATATAGAAATAGATTAAAGCAATTAAAGAGAAGTTTATAACTAAAATAAAAAAGTTAAAATAAAATAAAAAGTTAAATAAATTTAAAATAACTAAAATAACTGAAAATTGTAAATACCAAAACAGCTTTTGATAATTAGCATTGAAAATTAAAATTACCATGTTTACCAATAAATTTCACATAAAAAACTATATTTACCATGGCTAAATAAAGACTTGTTCCATTTTTTCCAGAGTTTACAGCTGCCTAAAAAAAATGTCAAAACACGACCTATAAAAAACTAATATTACACTACATATTAAAAGAAAATTGTCAAAATACAAACCATATGAAACTAATATAACATTCCATATTAAAAAGAAAACAGATTACAAAGAAAAATATTGTTAATTTTTACTTAAAAGTTTGGAATATTTGAACATATTACAGTTAATTTATGGTTTTATGTGAATGTATGCTTTTTCAATTTCACACTTAGTAATTAGTATGTTATTAGGGTGTAAACTAGCCCTGTGGGGTCCTGTCAAACACGGTATTATCAAAAGTTCGTAGAATTTAAATTCCTAACTTAAAAGTGAAAAAATCCCATTTTCTAAATAATGTTTGCCTAATTAAAATTTAATAATAATTCTAAAAAATATTGAAAATTAATTATTGTTAAAAACTAATAGAAGAATAGCGTAAAAAATATTTATTGTTTAAAACTTCAAATAAAATTGCCATTATTAGTATAACTACGTGCTTGCATAACTGTAAAAATGTCTCTTGGAAAAAAACTTTTTTGAAAAATTAGGATTTTCGGAAAATCCCTAAGATCTCTCAGAAAAAAAGTTTAATTCTCAAAATTTGCAAATAATTTTTTGCAATGCGTTCCAACAACAGAAAATATTATTAAAAAAAAGTTAGCAAGAAATAAAATTTACAAAATTACGAATTTGTTTAGTTTAACACCCACAAATGCTATTTCTTTAAAAGTTTCGCCCTTTTTGGCTGTTAAATAAGTTGAATAAATGTTTTTTGATTATAACAAACTGGTTCTAGAAATTTATTTAATGAGGATTTAATGAGCTTTTACTTTACTGGCTGCTTATATTCAAAACGTAAATTAAATACGTATATTAAAATGTAAATTAAATACTTTTCATAACAAGAATTTTTTTTTTTTTTATTACAACAAACTGAAATTAGAAATTTAAAAAACAAGAAAACTAGATTCAACTTGAATTTTAAAAGCAAATTTAAATGTTTCAATGAACCATAGTCATAACAACATTTTATGACTATGCATGAAAAAATAATTATTGGTATACTTCCTTGCCACGATAGCGTGCAATCGCTTCCAATCTTTTGTAATTCTTTTGTAATTAAACAACATTAGTTATTGTTTTTGCTGAGACTTTGTAATTGTAACTTTATTTTGCTATGCGACTTATGTATAAAGAAAGTTAATATTAATAATAAAATTGAACTCACAATAAATGTGTCATATGAAATTTGCAAGATTGTGTTTACTATCATCAAAATCTTTTTTATTTTTCTATTTTTAAAACATTTCTTTTGATGACACAATTTATTACATGATGGTGTAAAGGTTCATAAAGGACGTCAAACAGAATTTAGATAATAATTAGAAGTAGAAGTTTGCTATATTACTTTAAAAATCGCTGTATTACTTTAAAAATTGCCTTTTAATGCCCACCAGTGAAATATATATTTTTAAAAGAATACTCTTAAGATGAAAGCGGCAACGATATATTAAGATTAAAAGTAAATCAAATATATTATTCTTAATAATAATTAATTAATACACACTGATTATTTTATAAAACAAAAATATATAATTCTGAATATATCTTTGCAAATCGGAGCTTAATTTGCCTTATCGTTTTGAAAACATTTTTAATTTTGCGTTGATTTCCTATTCATATATACCCAAATATTATAAGTGCTTGAATATCGAATTTGTTTTTAATAGTAATAAGTTATAACAAATTTTGCTATAATATATTAAAAATAATTATTTAATATAATAAATATATTAAATTATTTATCTATCGCAATTTATTGTAAAAAAATGAGTATAAACGGTTAAAATAGATTTTAATAATTCGGGTCTTGATTTTACAAAAAAATTGAAACCTGGATTTGCTCACTGAAAAAAAGTATTGACCAAATAAATGTTACAGACAGTATTTTGTTTTATTTTTAGCACTGTCCAATCAATGTATGCAGCGCTATAGTGGAGTAGAAGTGAAAAATATAAGATAAGGACCCCACACATTCCCGGTACATATTTTAAACTCAGGGGAGGGAAGGATGGGGGTGATATATTTGGGAGATTTTTTGACAAATTCCTAATTTCGTCAACACGCTGTATCAAATTTATTTCTAGTTAACACTCTGGTTATGTGAACAAATTGCATTTTTAATAACTAAAAGTTGCTTAGAATTCATTTTTGGCAGATTTACCAAAAATGAATATTTTTGATAAAAGATGCATTCAACAAAATTAATAACACTAAATTAACTGCTTAAGCAGTTAATATTAAAACTGACAAAACAAATTGTAATATGCATTATTATTAGCTTGTTACTGATTATGTGATCAATCAAAAAATAATTTTGTAATTATCTTTACACAACTTATAAAAGATGATATGATGAGATATTTTGTGTATTAATTTATGTAATCCCTACTTTTTAAACTTAATATTCTCATCTTTTCATCACCTGCTTTTTAATTGAGCCTAATTTCTTACTTTTTAATTTAGCCTAATTTCTTACTTTTCTTCCTTCTTTTAAGACTGACCTATTGTATTTACTAAATAGTAAATAAGTAAATAACTACAGCAAAATTTATATTAATAAACAAGAATAAAGATAATTTTGACTTACAGTTGGACTTTTAAGCAATGTAAAACATATATATAATATTTTCTTTAATGATGAAACCCACAAAGTTGTAAAATCTTTTATTAACATTACTGACATATACCAATACTTTGGTTCCTTGCCAGATTCAAGATTTGTTATAATAGCTTCACATAAACATTGAAATCTCTGAAACCAAAATACATTGAAATATATTTAGCCTAGGTATTTATCTACATCTTCATTCATTTCTATATACATTTGTAAATTATTAAAACCAATATTTTAGTGATATAGGTCATAGTTTTGGAGATCACTTTAAAAGCCACAATTGAGACAAAGTTGCCGCACTTAAGTTGACAAAATAAAGTAATGTATTTTTTGATTATGTAAAAAGCATTAAATTAATTGAGCAAACAAATTAAATTTTATCGCTTTTTAAAAACCACAAAAACGCAACTTGTTAGACTTGAATGTTTTGTTTTTTTTAATTCAGAATGTTTGTAATTTTACTTTTTTACTGTTTTTATTATTTAATTTTTATTTGTTTTATTTATTAGTTTTTTTTTTTTTATTTTATCAACTGATTTATTTGGGGATTATGGCAGCAGAGTGTACATACATGGACTGACTTAAATAAGTAGAACATGCAGGGAGTGGACTTCAACTTGCAGGGAGCAGACTTAAAACACATGGACTGACTTAATTAGGTAGAACTTGCATGCAGTGCACATACTTCAACTGACATAAATAGGTAAAACAAGGAGTGGATAGTAGTATTGAAATCATGTATTGTTTTAATGTGTGTGTATATATATATATATATATATTTATATATATATATATATATATATATATATATATATATATATATATATATATATATATATATATATATACATTAAAACAATACATATATGAAAAAAGCAGTGGTGATAAAAGAACTTATAAAAATCGATAATGGTGAAAAAAGAACTTATGAAAAATGTGGTAGCAATAGTGATGATAGAAGAATTTGAATTATGTATAGTTATAAAAAAGATGCTTTAGTTTATGAAGTAAAAATTAATTAGTTTTAGTTTATAAAGTAAAATAAATAAAAGACTTAACTATTTATATAATTAATAAAAAGATAAAAAAAGTAACATAAATGTCTTTAAAATATAAGTTTATAGAAACATAAATGGTTACACCACCATTTTGATCATTGGCTTGTTACTACATCACTACATACATACATCACTAGTGAACTCATTGAACTATACTAAATATACAAACAATAAAGTTCAATAAATGCTCGTTCTTGATTTAACATAGCTTTTGTCTTATTCAGGACTATCCTAGGTTCTTCTGCTTCCATTGCATTTTTCCAATACTAAAGTAGTAAAAATTTGCCTTTTGTCTCTGCAATCAAATATAAATCATCTGTATAGAATAGCTTCCATGGTAATCCTATAATGAACTATAATTAAAAAATAATAATTATAATAAAAAAACACTGAATACTAAAGCACATCAACCTTTAATTAAAAACAATCTTTCCAACTTTTGTTTTGAGTATTGTTATGACATTTTTATACACAAGAACTGCTACTAGCCACTTTTCCACGCCTACACAATTTAGGGCGCACGCTACCTTTAATGGTATTCTGACAAAAGCATATTCAAGGTCAACAAAAAAACATCTTTTTCTTTTCTAAAAATCTTTCTTTGCCTTATAATTTATTTACTATAAATTGTTTCTGGAAAAAGACACATGGTAAATGTTGAATGATTGAACTCCCAAGAATGCAGGATGGAATGATGAGTTTCAAAATATAAAATTACAATTAATAAAATATTTTTATTTATAAGGCTTATCTTAATCTTAAATCCTTTACACTACTAAAGTCAAACAAATTATATTTTTTTACAACTATTTTTTCCATTATTATTTTCGCACATTGGTCTTATGGAAAAAAAGTTCACCCAGAACAACTTTACAAAAAAAAAGAGATAATCCACTAAGCGGCTCTGATTATAAAAAAGTTAAAAGAAATGGTTGTATTTCAAAAAAATTGAATAAAAAAAAAATTATGTTTAATCACTGAGATGAAGTTTCCTAAAGGCAGAATGCTTGCAAACTTGAACATAGCATAGCCCTGAATTATTACTTGCTAAAAATAGAAGACAAGCAACAGTTGCCATAAAATAAAAATGATACCAATGCATAAAATGACCAGCAAGAAAGGATTCAAAAATGTGATTGCCTTATTGAGCACCTGCAAGAAAAAATTTGCGTCATTAATGATGAATCTTATTACACTTGAACAATGTTAAAAAATCTCCTGCCTGGGTAAAATATAATAAAGCTGTAATATTTGATCAAAAAATATTTCATTGTGCATTTCTAATAAAGGTTTGTCAAAACTGCACTCACTGTACTATTTAACCGGCATTCTTGCATTTAACCAAACTATTTACTTAGAACATTAGATCAAGAAACAACTTTTATTAAAGAACTATTTTATTCCTCCTTTCGTTGCATTGACCATAAATGTTATTGTAGTTATTATAGTACTAATTTGTAAAAATGTTATTGTAATAAACTGTTGTAAATCTTTGTTTTAGATTTTAACTAGTTTTAACACATTGTTCTCGGAAATAAATTAACAATATCCTAATATGTTAATAAAATGGGTGTTGCACTAATTCTACTACAATCCATAAAATAAATTTAGAAAAAGTGATTTAAATATTGTACATATAATCGATAGACTTTATCTGAGTTTTAACTTTTTAAAATGGTAGAATAAGATGATTTTGATTTTCAAATCAAAATCATACATTTTCATATTCAGATAAAAATATGGCATTAACTAAAAATTTTTCAACATATTGAGATTTCAATCTGTATTTTTAAACTTACAACCTACTATACTTTCGATTAAATATTTTTTCGTATATTTTTTAAACTTATAATATTTTTAAAACTTTTTTTTTTAATTTTCTTAAAAAAATTCAAAACTTGTTTTATTTTAAAATTCAAAAATTGTTTTATTTTAATCAAAAGCAAATTTAATCAAATTAAGTTTAACCAAAACCCTGGCTAAACCAAACCCTCAGTCAATGCATATTCACATGCAATTGTAAAATAACTTTATTTTTTGATAAAAAAACAAAAAAAACATTAATTTTTTTATATGATAATTTCCAAACTGAGTATAAAAAAATAAAAAGTGCTTTAAATTTAAATCGTTTATTATATTTTATCTTATTTAATGTTACTTTTGTTTAAAACTACTTTTTTATACTCATAAATACCTACTTTTATTTACTTTTTTATACTCATAAATACTTTTTTATACTCAAATACCTTTTCGTCAGTTTTTTCTTTGTAGATGAAAAGTAACTTGCGAGCATTAGAAAAAAGTGCCATAGCTGGAAAGGAAAAAATTGTTACAATTACTTTTACATTATTAGCTCAAAAAACAAATAATACTCTTTTATACGTGTGTGTAGAGTAATTCCAAATGAAATCATTCAAAAAAAACATTTTCGACACCCTTACGTCTCAGAACTTGTTCATTTTTACCTAACTTGCAGTCCATATCAAAAAAACTGAGAAAATTTTAGTTAAAAATACACATGGGTTCCAGAGATATCATCAGTTAAAATAATGCTGACTCAGCATTTTAGTGATTATCTGAAGCAACTACAAAGCAACTTTGACATATAGTATCTTCATAATGCCTTGGGGAAACTTCCTAAAAGTTGTTACCCCAATAGATTTTTAGTTGTGCAATCCAAAAAGAGCACTCTCAAGACTTGATTGATATGTTTATAGTCATAGGCTGAAGGAGGGCCAAGGGGCTTCTTACTAACTCTGCCCCCCCCCCCCCGCCCACAATCTTCCTGGATTTTTTTTTTTTTTTTTTTTTTTTTTATGCATGAAATGATATAATAATAAATAATTATTAAACTTCAATTCAAGACATAATTTTTTTTCTTAGTTTGAGAAACAATTTTTTTTTTCATTATTTACCTCTTATTTCAAAGTAAGCACTCAAAACTAAAATCTTTTCACGATTTTAAAAATCATAAATTTTAAAACCAAAAATATTGAAACATTTTCAACATTTTAACAATTATAAAACGTTTTAACAATTAATATCTTTATGGTATTATTTAGTAGATTAATACTAATATAGTTATTAACATAAGGTGGACAGTGGGATTTATTTAAACCCCTCTCATAATTACAACAAAAAATTAATTTAAATGTATTTAATTTTTTTTTGTAACCAACTGCTTATTTTCTCCGAATCTAAATCAGATATGTTGTTATGTCAGATACGTACAACTTGATTTTGTTGTGAATGTAGAAATTAGGCATATAACTTCAGAAATGAGCACCCAACATTCATCAGGCCAAAAGAAGTTTTTACCTGGTCCATGTGGATGCATAAATCTGACTTTTATATCAAGCTCACTTACATCTTCAGCAATCCCTAACCACTAAAATCCGTCATAAAAACATGCAATATAATCCATTTTTTTAACGTTTAATGAAATCTCTTTATTATGTTTGCTTTTTGGAATGATATCAAATATTTCAATACTTGATTTTTTATAACTTAAAGTGTTTGAAGCAATTGGAATAAAATGATGGTATGCCCTTGTGTCAGGAACTTAAATATCTTTTTTCTAATTGTGCTCATGTTTGGCCAATTTCATTTTAAGAAAATAATTTTAAACAAATTCCATTTATCTTGGCTTTACAAAAGGAGTACATTAAATTAACATCTAAAATCTGCCCAGTAGTTATTTGTTTTAAACTTTATTGACATACTACTCTTTTAACAGGTATGTTGCATTAGTTACATCGATGTAACAAACATTCTGCATTTTCATGCGAACAAAAAATCAATGTCATGAAATTTTTATAACTTTTATACCACCTAATGGCATCAATGAGAAATTTTGTATTTTGGTGATGTATGCATACACATACATTATGAGTACCTGACACTTAGTTGTAATACACCATTTAGATTTAAGAGTACAAAACTTTGACAGACTGACTTTGACGTTAGGGTAGTCTTTTTTATCGCCATAAGGTGAAAATTGATCTAGACATTTTAATGTATGATATTTTTTTATTTCATACATAAAAATGTCTAGATCATGGTCATTGTTAATGTTGTTGTTTGAAATAGGGATTTTTATTTCTGTTGTTAAATAAGTTTCTTTAATGTTATATGGTAATGAGACCATTTTTGCAACTATGTCAATAGTGTTCTTAAACTTTTGTTTTGCTGCAGGCAATTTGCTGTGTTTTGAAAGACTTGTTAGTTTGATTAGTGAAATTCCAAGCAATTCTATTGTGGTATCTAACTTAATTTTTTTCTCACTTTTTGATTCCCATTCCTCATATGAATTTAAATCTCCATCTATTTGTACTGCTTTTTTTGTAAAATTTACTGCAGAATTTCTAATATGGGGTTACATAAACATTTTGTTGCAAAAATTTCGCCAAGTCTAGGGAAATCTTTATGTTACCTTAGAAAAAAATTTAGTTTTAAGTTTTTAAAATAACTGAAAATATAAAATTTTTTATAAAAAATAAATGTTCTTCTTGTAATTAATGTTAGATTATTTTTTATAGCAAAATTTTTCGCTCACAATATTTTCCATAGAATTGCTCATGATAACAACACAATTTCTATTGAACAATATTTTTCCTTTAAATTTGCTCGCCATATATTTCTTCTTGTTTTTTTACAAGAAAGATCTTTGAATTGAACAAAACCTTGTTTTTTAGAAAATCCAGTTTTGTGGGAATGAATGTCAAGACTTTTAAAAATACAAAAAACAATAAAATTCACAATCATTCTCACAGTGGGCTCACAGTGGCTGGTGAACTTTAATTCAGATAAAACTCATTCTTTAATTCAGATAAAACTCATATAAAAATCATTCTCACAGTGGGGCTCACAGTGGCTGGTGAACTTTAATTCAGATAAAACTCAATTTTTTTCAGCCAATCGTTATCGCAATAGTTTAGACCTTCCTATATTTATGAACGGTAATGTACTCAATGAGTCTCCTCCCCTTCATCTTCTAGGATTAACTCTTACTTCTGATCTTTCTTGGAAACCTTATATCAAATCCATTGCAAAATTAGCATCTGTTAAAGTTGCTTCTCTTTATCGAGCTTGCCACTTTCTTACTCTGGATTCTTTTCTCTATCTCTATAAATCTCAAATCCGGCCTTGTATGGAATACTGTTGCCATATCTGGGGCGGATCTTTTAATGATGCCCTTTCTCTTTTAGACAAGGTGCAAAAATGCATTATAAACATAGTTGGACCTGCTCTTGCAGCCAACCTTCAACCTCTGTCACATCGTCGTAATGTTGCTTCTCTTTCTCTTTTCTACAAATACTATAATGGGCACTGCTCGAAAGAGCTAGCGTCTCTTGTGCCATCTACTAAAATTCATTCTCGTGTTACTCATCATTCAATTAAGTCTCATCTTTTTTCTGTTACTGTTCCTAAGTGCTCCAAAAACTCTTATTCATCAGTTCTTTGGAATTTGCTTTCTTCATCTTGCTTTCCTGATTCATATAATTTGCAATCTTTTAAGTCGCCTGTCAATCGTTATCTTGCTCTACAATCTTCATCTTTTCTCTTCCAGTAACTTACAACACTAATTAGTGGTTGCTTGCAGCCTTGTTGGAAGCGAAGATAATTTAAAAAAAAATAATACAAACAAGTAAGGTACAACCTTTAAAAAGAACAAAACAAAACATTTGCTTGTTTTTGATATAATAAGAGGTAAGCATTCGCCGATTTGAATTAAAATAATAAAAAAAAAATTGTTTTTCAAACTAAAAAAAAAAATTATGTTTTTAAATTAAATTTTAATTATTTATTATTATATCATTTAATGTATTAAAAAAATAAATAATAAAACTTCAAGGAGATTGAGGGGGAGGGAGCAAAGTTGGTCAGAGGCCCCCTGGCCCTCCCTTGGCCTATGACCTAAATTAGTCAATAAATAACACTATTTGATGTTTTATACAAATAAATGTTTTAAAAAACATTTCAATTGCTTTTGTTACAAATTTTAAATTTTTCTAAAAAGACAATTTTTAAATGCAAATTTTGATCAAGTATTAGAAATTGATGAATCTAATTTTTTTCAGTAGACCTAAGATAAAATAATGATATACAATTAAACTTTTCATTCGGGATTTTAGGCTACAGTTTTCATTTTACCTCCAAAAATCATGAATTTACAAATCAATAATTTTGAACAAAATTGGATAAATGAGGCATTTCCAGAGACAACCATGTCTTGAGGGTGCTCTTTTTGGATTTTGCAAGTAAAAATCTATTGGGGTACCGAATTTTAGAAAACTTCCCCGAGGCCATTATAAAGATACTATATGTCAAAGTTGCTTTGTAGTCGCTTCAGATAATCACTAAAATGCTGCATCATTTTAGTGATTATCTGAAGCATTATTTTAACTAATGATATCTCTGGAACCCATGTGTATTTTTAACTAAAATTTTCACAGTTATTATTTTTTTAATATGGACTGCAAGTGAAAATGAACAAATTCTGAGACGTAAGGGTTTCATGGTCTGGATGATTTTATATGGAATGAACCTATAAAAACTGTGAACTTTTTTAATAAGAAGTAACACATAAAACAAGATAATTCTTTATAAAAAGAAACTTTTCCAACGGTATCTCCAAGGTAACATAGCATACTTGTGTATACTTTGTATATACTTAGCATACTTGTATATACTTTGTATATACTTAGCATACTCTAATATACTTTGTATATTATCTCAATTATATCTCAATGGTATCTTTTAGTTAAACTCAACAAAACTGTGTCAATTTTTTTTTTTTTTTTTTATTTTTTGCAACATAACAATAACATTATTATCAAATAAAATTAAAAAAATTAGATGCATACTTGTATAAGCATAAACTTTTATAAATACATGCTTTTATTAACAAAAATAAAGTGTATAAAAACATGTAGGGACACTTGCAACAAAATGTACATTTATTTACTATTGGGTTTCTGTTTGAAGTATGTATGTTGGTTTTTTGATATCCATTTATTATAATCAAAAATTAAAACTATTTAACACGCTTAAGCCAAACAATTTTAACTTTTTTAAACTGACATTTAATCAAGCTACTGCTTCACACTTATGAAGATTCACACTTACACAAGCACAAGTACTTAAGCCAGTGTTTGCAAAATCTTTCAGCGCGCTTATGCCAGTTCACAGTTAACGATTATTCAAGTTATGACAACTGCTTCTCACATGTGCAAGTTTGCACTTATGCCTCCCATCATTATCATAAGGTATGCATGTAATCAGCCTCCCATCATTTTCATAAGATATGCA